TCTGCGCCGGTCAAGACGCCGTCGCTGTCGTCGTCCGGCAGCGCCTCGCCGGCCACCTCGTCGCCGCCGGTCTCGGGCAGCTCGTCGCCGTCGACCTCCCCGCCGTCGTCGTTCACCTTCGGCGATCAGCGCCGCGCCGCCGCCGCCGGCACCTCGTCGTTCTCCTCCTCGCCCACCGGCTCCAAGCTCGGCCAGTCTGCTCGGTTCGTCCCACCAGCCGCACCCGGGTCTCTGGGCTGATAACTTACCTTGCATGTCGTGTGCGTGTGCGTCGTATGTGTTGCATGTGTGTTGCGTGTATGTGCCGTGTGCCGTTTGTGCGTGCAGAGGAGGATCGGGGGTCAAGCGTTCGATGATCATCGGCAATCGGGACGTGAAGAGCACTGCGAAGAGCCTCGATCCAGCTTCGCTCGAGGAGAGCTTCAAGGAGATGCAGCAGAAGGAAGACGAGAAGGCCGAAACCGCCGAGCTGGGCTCAAGCCCTCCCGCCAAACTCTCCCTCGGTACCCCCCATCTCCGGCTGACGTCACCTCTGCGCTCCGCGCTCACTCACCGGCGTGTCGTGTCTGCGTGTGCGGTGCGTGTGCGGTGCGTGTGTCGTGCGGTTGGCTTCGATATTCGATGCGTGTGCACAGGGATGAGGGAAAGGAAGGACACATGGATCAAGCCCAAGACCACGTACTGCAAGGACGTCGACGTTTTTCGTTCGGCGGTGGACGATCGGAATCAATTCAACGGCGAGTGGTTCACCCAGATCCAGCTGACCGTCAAGAAGGAGATGGCCTGGATCAATGACGGTACTGCAGTTCTTTAAATCAACACCCGCATTCCTCTTTCGCTTTCGCTTTCGCTTTCTCTCGTCTCGTCTCTTCTCGTCTCTCCGCTTCTCAAGAAGGAATCGATGTGTGTGCGTGCGTGCGTGTGCGGTCGTGCAGAGCGGGAAGGAATTATCGGAATGCAACACAAGCTGGTGGCGCTCACCGAGGAGTGGGCGCGTGCGCTCCTCCGTACTCGTCAGGCCGCCACCTCTGCGTCCTCTCTCCAGCGATCCGAAATCTCTGTAAAGGACATCAGGTCCGCCCACGCCCCACCCGCTCAGCATTGCGCGCATTCCTTTTATCAATTAATTTATTATTGGTAAACATAATTTATAAATTATAAATTATTGTTATTAGAAACAATAATACAATAATGACTATATTAAACTATATTAATTCCCCCCCCTGTTAACAGCGCGGGCATGGAGGAGAGCTGCTACAGGCTCGCGCCGTGCCATTGGGCGCGGCAAGAACGGAAGATGGAGGTGCGCGCACGATCATCAGAGCATTCTGTGGCTCCAGTTCGCTTGTGGACTGACGGACTGCGTGTTGTGTGATTGTTCGTCTTCTTTTGGCAGGCCTACGCCGAGCTGGTGCGTACGCTCAAGGAGAACCCCGAGTACCTGGCGCACGCCGTCACCTGCAAGGACTTCAACCCGCCGCAGGTGGACTCCATGATGCAAATGGTGCGCCACCAAATGGACTTGCAAGGCCGTCGTGTGCTTCGTGTTAGCCAACTGTCGTGTCGTGTGTGTATCGTGTATGTCGTTTGAACAATTGCAGGTGACATGGTCGCTGCACAGTGACTTCTACCGGCCGCACGCCAACAAAGAATTGATGTACTTCACAAGACGCGTGGCAGAGCTCCAGTTCGCCGAATACGCGCAGAAGCCCGGCAACTTCCTCCGCCTGAACTCGCAGACCACCAAGCTCTTCACCTTCATCGCCAAGTACCGAGTCCCCCTCCCCCAATCAACCTTATCATCCATCAATGCACGGCATTGCACGCCGCGCGCGTGGACTCACTCGCGAGCTCAGACACGTGGAGATGAGCGGGGTGGAGTACCTCAAGTGCGTGCTCGGCCCGCCGATCAAGTACCTCCTCAACCTGTCGTCCACCTTCCCGTACACCCTCGACACCGAGCCACAAAACGTACGCCATCTTATTATGCAGTATAAGTTTGTTATTGTTTATAGTTTATTTATTTATTTATTTATTTATACTAATATTGTTGTTTTATTTTCATAACTCCTATTCGTGACGAACTGTGGACAGATCTTCTATCACATGAGCGATGCCGAGAAGAAGGAGTTCGGAGAGAATGTCGACATCAACACGATCGGCTCCCACGAGAAGATGAAGGCCATTGTGCTGCAAGATATCCTTTTCCACCACCTATCCCGCACACGCACACACGTATCATCGCACACACACACACGCAACACCGCACACGCCTGCCACACGACCGCGTTATATCGTCCTTGACCCCACGCGTACTGTACGAGAAGATCGCCGAAGTGTGTCGCGTGTTCATCGAAGCGATCTTCCACAAGCTCCCCGCCATGCCCTACGAGATCCGTTGGATGGCCAAGATCCTCCTCAGGTACGTACCAGCGGCGCGATGCCACCTCCCAACAATGCGTTAAGAAGCCATTGACCCGTCTTCGTCTTCGTTCTTGCGTCGTCGTCTTCGCATTGCAGAATGGCGCACCAGCGGAAACCAGCGGTGCCGCCCGAGCAAGTGCAGATGCTGCTGGTACTACATTCCGATCATTCTTCGATCGCTAGACGGGG